GTGTTGAGCATCCCCATAGCACCTGCAACAGAAAATCTCTGGAGCCGCCACTGAACAGCTGTGGACTGTGGTTGACCTGTAGGTGGCGCTAACGCCCTTGTTGTTCTGCTTTAATAATAATAACACATTTTATTGTTGGCGTTCACTCAGTAACAGTTAAAGTTTCCTCGTGCTGATTTCCCTCCATTAAAGCTCCAGTGAAACCAGTAAAACCAGCAGCAGCTCGTTAGTTTCCACATGAAAGAGTTTCCATCGCAGTTCCACCTAATGAGACAGAAACAACCAGGGTCTGTGACTGCTGCAGTTATTAAACCAATATTATCGATCTTTAATCAATAAATGTGCAGTAGGTTATGGTTGGAGTTTCCTCTGTACTCAGTACTTCAGTCAGTACTTCGATGTGTTTCAGTGGTTGTAGTTCTACTGATACTTTAGTTAAACTCTTGTTGAAAGTGTTTCCTGTCCGTCGTCCTCCTCAAACAACCGACTGAGACGTTAGGGGGGCGACTTCATGTTAAACAGCAATTTCTTCCTGAGGGGGGGCCGATGTCTTTCAGTTTGATCCGCTCCCCTCAATCAGCTGCTGGCAGAAAACCTTCCACAGGCTGCCAGCAGCGAGCTGCATGATCGCACACGTCCAGCTCTTCCCAACCGACCTGCAGGAACGAACCTCCACCCGTCAGCTGTGTGGGCTGCAGGAGGCCTAATTACTCCTGATTGTTTCGCTGTACGGCGGCCCAAGGCGGCGCAGAGACTTAATCAGCTACACAAACACAGTTAAAAAGGAGAACAATGTTACTTCGTCTGCTGCACAACGCTTCATTTCCATAAACATGTGTCTGCTACGAAACAGTTCCAGTTTATGTTCATTTGTTTATTGACAAATGAACATTTTACCACACAGAATAGCTGCAGCGAGATAAAACGAGAGTAAAACGTGACAAAGTTTCAGTGGAGTTTGGTTACGATTTGCTATAATTCTAAATGATTATTTTGGCTGAATTAATCCCAGATGACATTTGAACAGGAAGATTCAGAGTTTGGAGTCTCTCTTTTCACTCTCCGTGAACCAGAATAAATGTTTTCAGCTGAGAGCTCAGGAGCCACGTGAAGCAGCTTGGTTTGTTTGCAACGCTTTTTAATGAAGGGAAAGAACTTTTTAGCTCATATTTGTTATCATTTGGTCAAATTGTTTTATTAAAAGTAGCCGAAATAGCTGTTAGCAGCTGCTGTTAGCGGTGCACATGCGTGTACAGCTAACTATCACTGGATCACTGTGACACTGATGAAGGTTAAAAACCTTCTGGTTCTGCAGCTGGGACGTGTCTGTGGCGGTTTCCAGCCTCCAAGTGCTGGAAAAATAAAAAGCTTTATAGTTCCTGAGAAAACCACGTGGGACCGAAACATTCTGTACTTGTTAAACTTTTAAAAGTGGAGCGTGACGTCGGGTTTGAACCCCGGAGAGGCCGAGGTCAGGTCCATCCACCAAACATGTTCATTAACCGTTGGTCCACAGGCTCCGAGGGAATCAATAAAAGCTCAGATCCTGTGGAGAGTTTGGTTTCTGAACGAGATATCCATCCGACGAGAGCATGAAATCCAATCAAACCGTGGTTCTTCCCACAGAACAGAGTGTACCGACATTTTAGACTCATAATCAACTCTTTGGTTGGAACTGAGCAGTGAGTGAACGGGTTGTAGCGACTTCCTCTGCTGCCTGTGGACTGATGCCGACGCCCAGGATGATGCTCGCTGGCGCCCATGGACTGTGTTCGCTACGCTGGCTGCAGTTCACTGAGCGGCCACTGGTGGCGCCGTTAACTATGGTTTAATGTTGATATTATCTCAGTCAGGAGCAGCTAAATAGCCCCACTGCTAACAGTGCTAACTAGCTTTGTTTGGGTTGTTTTCCTCTAATGATGTAGCAGCTATGCTAACAGCAGAGAATCATGTTTTATGTCTTCAGTTGGTCTTTAAAGCGTCTTTGAGCCAAAACAAACAGACGTTATTGAGACTCCGACAGGAAGAGGAATGTTTCTGTTTCCCCCCCAGCTGATTGGTCTCGTTCGTTAAACTGTTTTAATTACCTGCAATTTGTTCTCGTGTGACCGGAGTGACTTAATTAGCAGAACGATTAGGCGGCGGAGCGGTGATTCGTTCGGAGCTCACTGGCAGCGCGGCAGCAATAACAGGAGGAAAGAAAAACTCTGACAAGACAACAACATGTGGAGGATTCAGATCGTTTCCAGATTGTCTGAAAAGAAAACAACCTCGTTAACGTCACTACTGAACTGCAGGTGGAGTTTCACTGTAAAGTTACAGGAAACCAAAACAGAACCTTTCAAAATATATAATTTAAATTGTGTGTGAGAGTTACGGAAGACCATTTATGCCTGAAAATACGTAACAATTACACTCAAAAACACTCATACCATACACTCATAATTCTGACCAAATATCAAATATATTTTGATGTTGTTAGACTTCATTGTGCTTTAAAGTGTACATCTATATAAAGTTATTATTATTTTTACTTTAAAATTTTAACATTTTGACTCCTAACTTTTTCATTATTTTGACTATTTAATCATTTCTAATGTCTCATCACCAACTTCGTCTTCTTCTTCTGCAGTGCGTCGTCAGAACATGAAGGTTCGGATCAACGCCACCGGTGACACCATTGTGATGAAGTTTGTGCGTCCGAGTCCCGACGTGAAGCTGGAGGGTTACATTCTGGGCTACGGCAGCAGCATGTTCTCCAAACAGTTCATCCAACTGCCCGAGAACGGACAACCGTACGAGACCGAGATGGGTAAGAAATCCTACGGAAGTCATAACTGAACTAATCATTATTATTGATAATAAAAATGTTAGTTTATTATATTTGTATTGAATAGTGAGAACAACATTACATCTGTTCAAACAACTGAATTATCTGTATTAGTATTCTGAATGGGCGGCTCTTACACAGGAAGAGGGCGTGTCTATACAGACGTTAATTTACGACTGAAATTGATACGGTTGATCAGAAGTTGCTGAATTTGTTAAATATGTTTCCAGAATTAATCTGGAGCAATGTTATTGATCACAAGAGTAAGATAACTATTTATAGAATAAGTTTTTTTTATAAAAGATGCACATTTTACTAAAATTTTGTTTTAGTAAAAAGTTAATTATCTGTACTGGATACTCGTTTCAGCCGAGAACTCGACTCAACTGTAATATTTTGCAATTTTTTCATGTTTAAAGAAGCATTTCAATTTAAATTTTTTTTCAATCTTTACTTTTGTCCTCTTTGGGCTTCGATACATCTGAGGAAAAAAGTGAAAACTCTCTAAAACTTTTTCCAGCATCAATCTGATGAAGGTAACTCTACTGTATGTCTGTAAGATCGGATGTTAAAACGGCCTAAAATTTAAATGCAGTTTGGTTGGCAGGTTGCTACCTGTTAATATGACTGAAGGTTTTTCTCTCTCAGTCACTCAGTTTCCCGTTCACGTCTTTAAAGCGATGACAGGCTGATTCATAAACATCCACAGCAGTTCCTCGCTGGAACTAATGAGCTATGTGACAGTAAGACGGGGGGGTTCTCTCTTGTTCTGGGCCTGAAGGTTAAATTTCTGTCTGTGTATGCGAGCACTAAACCTCCGTGTCTAAACCGTCAGACTCGTGGGAAACGCAGGGTTTCTGCAGAAATGCTTCGGGGGGAAAACCGGAACGTGAGAAGCTTTGAGACTCTGGCAGCAGCAGCAGGTGGCTCTGATCCTGGTTCTGAAGCTCGGCCAGCAGTTTTTATCCCATCACGGCAAAAAAACACTAAAAGTTCTGACGGCGTGATGTGTTTAAGGGAGCGTATCATTGGGGAGGGTTAACAGAAAACCTGCTGAAAGTCGTCCTTCAGCACCGTGTTCTCTAGAGGACGACTCCCTCCTATTGCAACACATTTCCTCCACAGCAAGAGGCTGCACAGACGTTAGCACTGCGCTTAAATACGTCAAACTTTGACTGGAGTTTGGTGGTGGTCTTTTTAATTTAGTTAAAGTTTGACTCTTTCTGCCCTCGTGTGTGGACAGACATTAACTCTGTGGAAGGTCACAAGTTTTTCTTCAAGTCTGTCTGAAATGTGAGAGCTTCATAAGTTTGTGACGATATTTGATTATGTTTAAAAAGTGGTGGATAAATCGACAATAACAACTCAAACATTTACAGGTTAGTTCATGATGAAATTAAAAAGTCGGTTAAAAAAAAGTTTAGTTGGAAAGACACAACCCAAACATCTCCTGAATATGTTGTTTTAATCATTCAAATGTGGATTTGCCATCATTTTCTTTTGCTTTTTGGCACAATGCGATGTGCTGTGTTCAAGTGCAGCTGGGAAAATCAGACATCCCAGTTCGCTTTGTGGGTTAATTAAACCCAGAAGATCAAGCTCCACTGGGAGTCTTTTAATTTAATCTCCGTCTCCGTTTTTGTTGCTCGTCTCTCGTCGCTGCTCTTTCTGCCCCGAGGTCGCCTGTCAATCAGAGCGTGTGGTGGGCGGGGCTGTGGTGTCAGAGCTGCTCTTAAAGGCTTCATGTGGTGTTTACCTTCCTGGTTAAAAGCCCTCAGCGGAGAACCATCCATCAGCAGCTCAGAGAGGATCCACGACCGCAGTGTTGACTCTTTAAATCCGACGCCGCTCGTGGTTTTTGGTTTATTCAGCCACATGAGACACAAACAGAGAGACTCAATAATTCACTGTTTCCTCTGCATGGTTTGTTTTTAGGCCATAAAAGTGTTCAGACACATTTCTGATCATATCTAAAGAAAAGTAACGAAAGTGACGGCATAAAAATTATGGAAAACCCAGAAGATCCAGTAGAAGTTTTTTGGTGTTAATCTGTGCACCAAACTTAAACGTAGTAATCAGCTAATGTGAGAAATCTTAATAGGATTTAAAGAAAAACATTAAAAAATAAATGTATATTCTCAGAATATAACCTGTAAATGTTTGGGGTTGTTGTTTTTGGGTGTTCACCGTCTGGGGTAAAATTCAAACGTGTAAATCCCTGTAAAAGGAAACTCTCTGAAGCCTCCGTAAACTGGAACTGTGACAATCCTGAACTCCAACAAAAGCAAACACTGAAATAAAAACCCCGTCAGCTGAGTTTAACCCTCCCGACCTCCACGACAACCGCAGCTGATAAATGTTCCAGCAAGACAAAAAAAGGAAAGAGAATGACCTCAGACTCTAAGGTGATTACAGGTGATTGATGAGGTCAGGAGGCGGAGGCGGAGCATGTTTCCACCTGTCAGCGGGAGACGAATGGAAGAGCTCACGTCCACAAATAGACGCAGAGTTTGTTTTTAGGGAAAACAGCCAGAGGACGTTGACAGTGCAGAGGTTTGTCTTAAAGTCCTATAATTTAGAATGAAGTCTGGTATGGGATGAGGTCATGTTCAGGATTTGGACATTGCCAAAAGATTAACACATTAAATAAAGCAGCGTTGTCTCGATATAAAGCTGATAAAGGCGCATTGGTGTGATTCATGCAGCGTGGGTGGTACCTGTTCAAGTATAAAAGTGAGGAGTCCTTCTGTTTCCTGTTTGTGGAGTGAAAAAGATTAAGTGTTCAAGTTGATACAGTTAACAGCAGTTAATTAGCAGTTAGCTACTTTAGCCAGAAGAAATATACCAAAAATCAATTTTCTCTATAAAATCTCATTTAGTTTCGATTGGTGTAGATCAGCTAACTAGTTACCTAGCTACAGAGTGAAACGTTAGCTAACTAAAAGTTGTGCTTCTGTACAGTAATCAGTGTTTGTAACACGTCTGAAAATAACATTTAGTTTATTTTCTGAATAAAGGAAACAAAAACACGACTTTAAGATTAAAACTTTCAGAACAAACAGTGAGCTTTCGGCCAATAACCTTCCAGCTTCACCGTTAATCCGGTTAACACCCACCCACTTTACCCACAATGCTGCTGGGTGCCTCGCTTCCACCCAACAGTTCCCACTTTACTTTACATGCAAACATACTCTATTGGAGTTCATTTTCCTGCTTATAAACTGAATATTTATTTATGTTATTTATTTATTTTTTTTATTCTTTTTTTTTGGCCTTTTATTGCCTCTATTGATAGTAACAGCCGAAGATTGAAAGGAAAGGGGGGTAGAGAGAGGGGATGACAAGCAGCAAAGGGCCACAGGTCGGATTCGAACCTAGGCCGCTGCAACAACTCTGTACATGGTTCGCCAGCTCTACCGACTGAGCTAACCGGGCGCCCATAAACTGAATATTTTACCTGTTTGCAGCTTTAAAAGCTGAAAGAAACCAAAAGAAACTCAACTCACTTTGATTATTGTTTCAACATGTCTTTCTCTCTCTCTCTTTGTCTGTCTGTAATCATTAACATCTGTCTGTCTGCTCTGGGGGGGTCGTTTTAATGCCCACCATGACTTCATCAACATGGCCACACATTTCCACAACACATTCCTCACATGTTTCTGCCTCCCACAGGAGCTGCAGCGGTGGAGAGCTCGCCGTACTCGCTGTACGGCGGCAGGTTGTAGTCAGAAAGTATTCTAGAAAGACGTGTTTTACACATTCGATGGACACCAGACGACTCAAATTACAGCAGAAACATTTCCATTTCCTCTTCTCGTTCCAGGAAGGACGAGAAGAGAAATTTACAGATAAATAAACCGAATCACTTAAACACACATTAGAAGGCTATTGTTAGCAAATGGCTAGCTAAAGAACAATTGATATAAAGTAACAAATTAGTTAACTTGTGTTTCACTCTGTAGCAAGTTTTTTACTCTACAGCAAATTTTAGATTTTTAGATAATTTTGCTATATGTTAATTGTTAGCTAACAAGTTACATCTGAAAGCTGTTGTTAGTAAAATGGTAGCTAACAGTCGTTTTTCAGGAAACTCCATTAAGAATACCTGAAAATACCTGAACAATGACTTCCTGTGTCTGAGACGCTGTAACCAAAACCTGATCTAATCTCCGAAACCTGAATCCACATTTTGTTTCAGACGCGGAGCCGAAGTACCTGGTGGCCGTCCAGCCGATCCCAGTCAACGACGTGAAGAAACACTGCACAGGTGCGCCGGCCGCTTCCTGTTTGCTTTACGTTGCCGTGCACGCCGACAGTATGTCTCACTCTGTCCTCACCTGTGCTCACAGGGAAGGTGAACCTGGAGAAGCCACTCCACCTGGTGATCGGCTCCGTCAGCCCGACGGCGGTGCTGCTGTCCTGGGGAAACTCCCTGAAGACGCCTTATGAAGGGAACATCATGAATGAGTGTCTGGAGGACGGGTGAGCGATCTTGGATCGATGTGACTGCTTAAATTAAAATGTGTCATAAATGATCTGTAAACTGATCCGTACGTTACAGTGACAAGAAATGATCGCAAATTGTGCGTCATAATTACGAGAACATGTAATTCCATAATTTGCGCTGACACTTCGTACGACATCCTGATGCCTTCAGACGTTACTGATGAACCCGGCAGGATCACCTGGTTACGACAGGGCGTGAAAGAGTTTGACCTCCTTTCATGTGTATTTACGACCACTTTCTCCAAAGTTTGACATTTTAGTGACGAATCACATGATGACGAATGGTTGGACTTCTGAAAAGCTGCTGTTGTGCTTCAATCTGTGTGTGTTGAGTGATATTACACCGACCGGGACGCACCAGCCTTCTTTTCCATCAGCTCTCGCTTTCTCTCGCTCCAACAATCACATTTTTTTCCTTCCCTGTCAAACAAGTTGGAGAAGCCGTCGGAAAGCTTGACCCAGGCGTCCTCCGCCACTCTGGGCGTCTTATTAAAAGCTAATGTCAGATCCTTCTGTGGAGCGTTTGGCTGCGACTTCGGATTCTTTGGAGAATGGATTCTCTGAAAAACCCAACATGAGGGAGTGAAAGAGGAGATCTGCCCGCCAGAATTAACAACACCTAATGGGAGAAGCTGTTTCCGCACTGAGGTCAGAGCGGTAAAGAGAGAAACCACACGGGCTGAAGACTTGGTGCTGCCTTGTGTACAGTATGTCATTTATTTGTTGTTCTCCAGCGCCTTGCTAGCCTTGGCGTTAGCCGAACTCCAGTCGTAGGCAAAAGTCAACAAACCTCACTTAAGCTTTTTTTGTCGCCTTCCATGTTCGAGGAAACTTTGATGAATTTATTTTGAGTTCCAGAAGAAAACTGAGTGTTCAGTTTGGGGCCATTTAGATTCATCTGAGGTCTTATGACCCCAGAATACGTTCGATATTTTTAAACTAGCAGCATGACTTTATTAATGGAAATGATCGGTACACCACTATGGTCCAAACTAAAACTTCTCAACAAATACTGGAACTACTGGAGTTCATGAACCAGTTTCGTTCAAGATTCTTGGAACCTTGCTGTCAACAGAGGGCGCTGCTGAATATGACACGCTCGCTTTGGTTTCGTTTTGGTTTGGTTTCCCGAACTGATTTATTTTTGGTTCAAGTGCTCCGAACGGTTAAAAACTAGGTGCTCAAACATTAACTGAGCCGTTTCCCTGTTGGTGGAAAGGCCTAAAGGTGAATTTTGGGACTTTGCTGGGGAACTGGAGGGCGGCAGGTTCAAGTACCTGCTGATGTTAGCATCACAGAGCTGCTAGCATGACTGTAGACTGAAATTCAAACTAAAACTATAGAGGACCAAGAATACTACCCTGAGGAACCCCACAAGTAATAATCGGCTCTGTTAATAGGATGATCCTGTTGCTCTGTGTCTGATGGATGTTTGCTAACATGTTAGCCACAACTGCTTCAAAAGATGATAATATGTTCAGTTTGTTCTGCTGCCCTGTAGTGGCCAAAAAGTCTGTTACTGCGTCCGTAAGTAGCGGTTCCGTGGGACTGCAGGTCCAACCGACTTATTATAACTCTGACTTTCCTGCGTCCCCTCCCACCCGCCTTCAGGTTCTACACCATCCGCTACAGAGAGAGGAACAGGAAGTGGATCTATCAGACCTGCCCGACCAGCGACACTGTCATTGACAACCTCAAACCCAACACGCCCTACGAGTTCGGCGTCCGGTCCAACAAGGACGACCGCAGTGGCATGTGGAGTAAAGCGGTCATCCACAACACCAACATGGGCAGTAAGGAACAATCAATTATTAAATTAAATTCATTATTAACTTATGGCCCAAATCCTGTCAGAGATACTGGAATTCATCTTGTGTTACGTGTTACGAAACAGTTCAGCTATTCTGTTAAACATGTTTTACACCTGTTTCCTGCAGCTGATGCCAACATATAAAACAATCTTTACACACACGTATATTCATATTTTTATATGTATGAATGAGTTTATCTATGTTTTCACGTATTTTGCAGATAAGAACACACAGAAGCCGTACAAGCTGCGCAATCCTCTCGCAAAGCCGCTGGTATGTATGAATAAAATCATCATCTGGTACGATGGTGATTTTATCGATTTTATAGAAATTATTACTTTGATCTCAAAACGTTGCAACTTTTCTCCTGAAATGATATGAAATATTTCAGGAACATCGTTGTACCTTTAGAATAAAACGACCTCAGAGCCATGACTCTCAAGTTTAGCTTCCTGTGGGCCCCTCCACGTGTTCCTCGGCACATGTATGTAACATGAACCGTGTATGTAGCATGACGTCGACCTCCCAGCAGACAGACGGTGTTTGTTCTGAAAGGGGTCAGAGGTCGAGGTCCTGTTTGAGTCTGTGCACACTTCCTGTTTCAGAGCGAATTTATCACCTTTAAATGAGCAGTTTATTCTATGGAAGCCTGTGGCTGCCAATGTTAAGATGAAACCATTTAATTACATTGAAATTTTATTTCGCATTTACGTGAATTAAGGGTTAATCTTTATTATTTATTTACAAAATTTAAATAATAATTTTCAGTGGTTAAATAAAATTGATTTCGGTTTGGCTTTAATAAAAATGTAACTATATAAAACTTCAATTCATTTTCATTTGAAAAGAGAGAATTAAATGTAAATCCAGTTCAAATGCAAAAGTACTGAGTAAGAAAATAAATGTAATTTTATTTTATTTAGTCATTATTTGCTTTTAATAAAAAAATATCCTTATTTATACTTGAATTTTTTTGTATTTGTTATTATATTAACTTTATTTTACTTTGAATCTTCTATAAACTTCTGCTTTAACTCTGTTAGCTGAACAGCAACAGAGTTTGAAGCAGTGCACTCTGGGACTTGTAGTTGTATCTTGTTTGTGAGATTGTTGTTGAACTGAAGTTGATATGTTTTGTCTTTCAGAAACCTCTCGGCCCGCACTCACTCTTCCCTCCTCGTCCCGGTAAGATCAGTGATTTCTTTGACTTGTTCAGGCAGCGTTTGTTGCTGCTCGGTCGTTTTTTCTGCCTCACATTATTTAAGGAATCTCTTTAATGGCTGTGCAGGTGTGCAGGTGTGCACAGTCAGTAGTGTGTAATCCACCTCCGTCTGTTTCCAGAGGAGGTGATAATAAAAACAGAGAATAAAAGCTCTGATGGACGTCACTGCATGTTCAGGCTGGTTTAGGAGAAACACAGATATTTCACATAACAGCACATCTTACATGAAATGAGCTTTTGTTGTGAAATTACAGGGCTGCCGCTAACCATTTTATCATCAATTAACCTTTTGATTTTTCCAACTAATCTTTAGTCGAGCACCAGAAGCTTGTTAACACTGATAAAATGTTCAAAAACCAAAATATATTCACATTACAACAGCACATTTATGCAAAAAACTTTGTTTTCTGACACTTGAAATGTACAAAATGAAACCTTTAGAGCCTTTTAGGACATTTTTGATCAATACAAGAAGTCATTTGTTAATGCTAAATATCTGTTTCAGGTTCACAGATGTAATCTTTAGCTAGCCAGTTACATCTGTGATATTCACAGTCATCCATTAATAACTGAAAAACTTCTTTTTACACAATAAATGACTTGTTGTATCAATCAGAAATTTCCTCAAAGGGTCCTGTAATTTCATTTTGTACATTTCAAGTGTCACAAATGCAGTTTAATCTCCAACAGTCTACATAAATCAGGATGAACCTGTTGAAAATACAGAATTTCAGAGTCACAATGATTGTTTGAGTATTATTTGCAATGTTGCTGCTGATGTTCATCCACTAACAGTCTGTGGGAAAATAAATGGCACTTTTACCGCCTTCACTCATCATTTCTGCTGTAATCTACGTCTGTCTTTACATGATATTAATATCTCATGAATATGAATGTATGACTGTAAACTGTCGACTCATTCGCAGCTCTGCACAACAGGACTCGACTCTCTCCTCTGCTCAAAAACCCGGCGTTCCCCGGAGCTCCTCGCACTTCTTTTGGTGATTATTTCTTCTTCTTTTCCTCCACACACAAAATAACGCTGTTTATTCCTCCACTCAGGGCTGCAGAAACATTTCCACCTCCGAACCTTCCCGGTCGGGTTCGACTGACTTGATTTCAATCAGTTTAAAATGCAGTTCCATTCCATATGAACTGAAAGTGAGTGACTGATCATCGATAACGTGTCTCAGCAAAGAAAAACTGGACCGTCCAAATGTTTTCCTGTGACTTTTATTGTTGGGTTTCATAAGCCCCGCCCCTTTTTCCTCTAACCTCCAATCACACCTGTACTTAGATATGCTATATGCTAGGCTAACCTATGTTGAAAAGACAACCACATATTGAAGATAAAAGAGACATATATATATATATATATATAGTCACAGCTTCAGGTAGCTAATGTTAGCTAAACACTAGATAATTAGCTAACCCCCCGTCGCTGTAAATAAAATAGATAATAACCATCGGGTCACTCACTCGCTGTTCGTTAGTCTTTTTGTTAAAAATGGTGGAATCCATTTGTGGTCCAACGCGACCTCTGTCTCCAAACAGATCCATTATTTATTTTCCTGCACTTTAATATTTATCTCCTCTAAAGCTAACGTATTATTTCCCACAGCGCCGCCTGAGAGCCAGCAGGAAACGTTACCTCCGCCCGGCTCCGCGGAGCCTAAATGGCCTCATGTGTCACTCGGTAACAAAGAAAAGACGCTCTTTCACTTTGTTTTAATCATATGGCTTTATCCTGTCTTTACCTGCTTCAGCTGGTGCACCTGGGAGGGGGCGGGGTCTGGGACGTACAGCTGTTGTGATTGGCTGCATGCTAGCATGCCTTGAGCCCGGTTAGAAAGTCGATACGAGGCGTGGAGGTGATGTCACTGGAGGTCAGGTGCTACGAGTAAGTTCACTTTGCCCCGCCCACCCTGAGTGCAGCCACGACTAGTGTTTTTTAAGTCATGCTGCTAAAGGTCATGTGATTGCAGTGACGCTTCATTTGTGCATCTGAAGCCGTCAGTTCCTCTTTCACTCTACAATGTTCTGTCTTATTATCTGTCCTTTCTCCTCAAACTTCAATATTTCTCCTCAGAGCTGTTTCAATCAGTAAAGTTTTAAATTAAATTGAACCCAATATAAAATCCATTCATGGAAACAGTAACTGATTGTGGCTAGGTGGTGAGCTTATCGTCAGCTAGTTAATTACAGCTGATTGCTGCATCTAAAAAATGTATCATCTAAGACACCATATGTTGTGTCACATGCTATAAATCTGGCTTCACTTCCGGCCTGTGCAGTGTGTGATTGCAGTTAGCTCTCAGTTGATTAGAGAGACGTTGATTATAAACTACGTCTTTCCAGTGGATTGTGGGATCATTTCAGTCCACCATACACACATTCGGACCACACTGTAACATATTACTCTATAGTAAAGATAATTTCAACATCATGAAAGCCAGCGCAGATTTTGTTTGCCTATGAATCTATTGATCGTGGCTAATTCCATTCAAATGAACAGATCTCAGAAATGTTGCTGTCATAAATGCTGCTGTCACCGAACTGTTAGAAGGGCAGCGATGATCTGTCCATCATACCATCCAACATACTGGTTGAAAGCAAGATCTTTACCATGAAGTTTACCAGGGATTCTGTACTGAATTTATTTTAGTGTTATCGTCTGAAATTATAAATTCTCATCAGAAATCTGATGTTTTGTACAGCTTTATACTAAATATTTCACAAGTTTACTCTATTTTCCTAAAAGTTTGGGTTCAATTTAAAAATGAGGTTCAATGGATTTAACCAACATTCATCCAAACAACACAAGCCAATAATTGAACAAGCAGAGTTCAAGAGTTTGATCAAATATTCTGGAACTCAATAATGGATGAAATATCTTGTAAGGGTGGACATTTTAGATCAATTAAGTGGTCTAGGCATTGGATTTATCATTCATCTATCTACTCCTTCTTCTGTCTATCCGTCCATCTGTCTTCAGTCCTCACTGCTTCATGAAGTCATTGCCACGTTCCATCAGTCTGCATGACAGGAACTGCATGCGGGTCAGTTCAGACGCAGACGTTGTTGGATTTTCCCACCAGGGAAAGACAACACAAGTCGTTCTGCAAAATCCCCCAAACTGCTGCCCCCTCTGTCTGTCTCTCTTTCCAAGTACATTGTCTTCTGGACTCTTCTGTATTTCTACAAGGTGCAAGATTATGGGACCAAAACTTAAACCTTTGGACATCTGTCTGCTAATTGTAAAATCTCATGTGAAAATAGGCCTGGGTGTCGATATTAGTGCCGAGACGATATCAGTTTCTGAAGAAAATATCAGGATGGAGGGATATAAAAAGTAAATATATAAACATCACAAATTTACAAAAAAGTAAAAATAACAGTAATATTCCATCAGCTGGAGCGCCAAATAAATACAGTAACATAACAGAAAGTAATTCACTGAAATGTCTATAATAAAATACAGATATTTACACTGTAAAAACAATGCATTGAGCTATAAATACAGGTGAACTCTGTAATAACAGTAATTAATTTTGAAATTACAGTAATTATTGCTCAATCACCAGAGATATTCATGCCCGATCATTTATTGAAAATTACCATCTTCATGTCATGGGCATCTATCCTCTCGCATGTTAGTCACAAACTAACTGATAAAAACTGTATTTGGAGCAGTTTAACCAATGCTTATAACACGTGATACAACCAACAATTTATTTCAACTTCCAAAATTATACAAGA